AAAAAAAAAAAAAAACAAATGAAAAACAACTGACAAAAATTCAGAATAAAAAACAATTACAATTGCATACATCCCCTACCCCTACCCCTACCCACTCTATATATGTAATATTACTATTATTTTCCCATGCATAACATGAAAGACAGCAACAAATATTATTATGAGTAACAAATTTAAAATGGAATGCAAATTAATACAAAATAAATAAATTCGAAAAAGAGAAAAAACAAAAAACAAAAAACAAAAGTAAAAGCAACAAAAGCAAAAGCAAATAGTTCTATGTGACGAAAGAAAAATAAAGACGAAAATAAACAAATTTAATTATATGCGCATTTTTTATTCAGAGGAACAGCTATTGAAATTAAAATTGAAATGGAAATTAGTGAAATGAAAGTTTTCTCATTTTTTTTTCGACTTGTTACTAGTTCATTAATGCTTAATAGTTGAAGCTAACTTTTTGTTTCTTTCAGCAACTATCTATTGGCTCATGCATAGGTAAGTAGTCAAAAAGAACTAGTTAATTTTATGTTTTTTCATTTCTGAATTACTTTTGCAATTGCGGATTCAACAAGAGCTGTAAATTAGTTCTAGTGCTATTCTAGTGTTGAATGAAACCAGGGGAACAGTGGAATTGAAACACATAAGATTTTGCAGAAATATGCTAAGAGAAGAGAGAAATGTGAAAACATTTTTAGAAGATTAGGTATGTTACCTAACTGTGAGAAAGATTTAGTGGAATGTTGGAATGAAACAAACTATTAATATATGTATAACATGAAAAATCCTCTTTCCATCGTATCATCTGTTATGCACGCAAAATGGTGATAGTTGCACTGCTGAATGTTGTTAAGGTATTATAAATAGGTCATTATCGCTCGCTCATATAATCCTACAGAATTTTAAAATGAAATATTTCATGGAACAGTTATTGTGGAACACGCATTCATATTTCGCTCTTCAACCACAGAACAGACTGGAACAGACTACACTCATTTTTGGCCTGACAGGAGTTGGCTTTCAGATGGATTTGTCTTGCTTAATGAGCACAGCCAGACTTCATCAGTGCCGTCACAGATCAGCACAAAAAAAAAAAAAAAAGGAGTAACAAGTATACTAATTCCGAGAATTACTAGAGTGAGCCACAAAAATGATTTTACAGAAGGCAACGAATGTTGGGGGCCAGTCAATATCCTGTTTGGCTAATCACCGAATCCTGTCGAAATACAAATGAAATTTGAAGCCTGCGTGCAGCTAATCAGGCAGCAGACAGCAGACAGCAGACAGCAGCTGGCAGTGGGCAGAATTATGATATGCCTCGGGCACAGTGGGGCAAATGCACAAATGTCTGTGTTGTTTTTCTTTTTGGCCATTTAAATATTCAATTTCAATTTCCGACAAAAACACAAAACGCTGCTCTCTGAAATGAATGGCTAAGTAAGGTAAGGGCCAAGAGCACGGCAGTGGGAGCCAACGGCCAGTGTTGGCTAACGACGAGTCGTAATCGGAAATGGGCAACCGCATGTTTAATTGGACGCAATTGAAACTAAACTAGCGTAAAATCGAAATAAAAACACGCACACACACACACACTCATACACATACACACACATACACACATAACGGCATCGAAACCAAAAAAGAAGCTTTACTCAACTCTACGTCTCTGGCGCCGCAATATGGTAATAGAAATTCATTTCATTTGGCCGTTCCATTCCGTTTCGTCTCGTCGCGCTTTGTTGTTTAGATTTGCACGAAAAATTAATTACAAATTAATTTACCATAAATTGAAATTGCGCTCAATGGGCGACCAAAGGCGTCGACGGTCAGTCGAGTGGTTCAAACCGACCAACCAAACCAAATATCCACCCATCCACCACTGGCACCACCTTCAGCACCCAAATCAGTTTGGCTGAGGATGTGAGTGTGGCTGTGGATGTCGATGTGGATGTGGATGTG